AGTCGGTACACCACATGTCATAATATAAGTAGAATGAGATTGAAAAATATATCTTAGATAGAAAAATGAACATAAAAATATCTTAGACAGAAAAATGAGAGGAAAAGAGAGAATAAAAACAAGAAAATTAATTCTAAGTTGAAAAGCAAGTTAACATCATTGGTGTCAAAACTGTTATGGTTGACATAGTTAACACCATTGAACGTAGTCATCAAATTTAGACAATGGTGACACTCGGGTTTACAAGGCCACTGATAAGAATGGTGCCCTCAAATCAGTGCCCTATATAGCACATTTTGTTGTAGTGGATCAACTTTTCAACACACCCACTTATGGACGGGTTGTTGGACAAAACATGTGATGGTGGTGGAGAGTATGTCAGTATTCAATTTCAAAGTTTTCTTAGGGCTAAAGGCATTGTTCATCAACTTTCTTGCCCATACACCCATGAACAAAATGAATTAGCTGAAAGAAAAAATAGACATGTTAAAACAAATATTACCCTTCTTCAACAAGCTTTTTTATCATCTTAGTTTTGGTAGCATGCTTGTGCAACTGCCACTTATCTTATCAATAGGATGCCTACACTAATCCTTAGTATAAAATCACTTTTTGAAGTCTTATATATAACTCTCCACCTAGGCTTGATCACTTAAAAGTGTTTGGTTGTGCATGTTATCCTTCCATTAAACCTTATAGGTCCAATAAGCTTGAACCTAAGACCATTCAATGTATTTTCTTGGGATATGCTACTCAATATAAGAGGTATATTTGTTATGTAGTTAAAAAGAACAAATTTATTGTCTCTAGGCATGTTTTATTTGATGAGACACATTTTCCTACTATACATAGGCTGAGTGTTAATATGCCTAGTTCATATGTGTCTTATACTTCTACAACCTTTGATGTTCATCCTAATACCTTTCGACAAACTGTGATCATCCTTATTCCTTTACCACATGTGTTTGTACCACCAGCAAATGCTCCTACATAATTTATCACTCGGTCCACTCCTCTCAACAATGGTGATCTTGTCTCCACTACCTCTACCTCAACTTCAAGCTCAGAATCAATGTCCAACAGTGTCACAGAGTTACATCTAAATACTATTAATTATCAAGCTCTAGAATTACAGATTATGCCCATTTCTTCTCAAAATTGTCATCCTAGGCAAACAAGGTCTAAGTCTGGTATTTTTAAGAAGAAAAAAGCTTTTAGTGTTGCAGTTCAGTCAGAGTCAAGTAAAGAACCATAGTCATTTAGTGCAGCTTCCAAGTCTATACAATGGCCAAAGGTAGTTAAAGAGGTGGTGGATGCTCTTATTCAGCAACATACATGATCTCTTGTTCCTTTACCTCCCAATAAGAATTTAATAGGCTGCAAATGGATATACAAGATTAAGAGAAATCCAGATGGCTCAATTCCAAAATAGAAGGCCAAATTTGTGGCCAAAGGATTTTCTTAGGAGGTAAGGTTGGATTATTATGAAACATTCAATCTGTGGTGAAACCAACCACAGTGAGGTGGATGTTATCTTTAGCTGCCACTAATGGATGGAAACTCAAACAACTTGATGTTTTTATATGGCTTTCTTGAGGAAGAAGTTTATATGTCATAACCTCAGGGATTCATTGACAAGGATCATCCTGAGTATTTTTGGAAATGTCACTCTATGGACTCAAACAAGCTCATCAAGCTTGGAATGACATGTTTATAACTTTCTTACTTTCATTGGGGTTCAAATCTTCTTAGCATGATCCCATCTTTAATTGTTAAGCATGATGGAAAGTTCATTGTTGTCTTGTTGTTATATGTGGATGATCATCCTTACTAGTCATAATGATGATAGTGCTCAGACCGTGGTTTCTCAGTTGACAAGGGAATTTGATATGAAGGACTTAGGCATTCTTCATTACTTCCTTGGACTTCAAACTGAATATTAGTCATAGGGATTGTTTGTTTATCAAGCCAAGTATGTCCAAGATTTACTACACAAAACAAATATGATGCAGTGCAAGCCTTGTGTTACTCCATGTCATCCTAATAAAAAAAACTTTTGAATCATGGCAGTACTCCTCATCTTGATCCAACCAATTACAGAAATATTGTAGGTGCTTTACAACACTTGACATTTACAAGACCAGACATTGCCTATTTTGTTAATCAGGTATGTTAGTTCATGCACTCCCCTTTGGAATCTTTATTGCCATCAATAGAATACTAAGATATCTCAGAGGTACCTTAGGTTGGGGTATTTGTTTTATGCCTGGTTCTTTGATCTAAAAGCATATTCAGATGATGATTGGGCTGGTGATCCCAATGACAGAAGATCTACTACAGCTTTTGTGGTGTTTCTTGGTTTTAATCCCATTTCTTGGAGCTATAAGAAGCAACATATTGTTAGTAGGTCTTCAACAGATGCTGAATATAGAGCGATGGCAACTATAACTACTGAAATTGTCTAACTTCAATAGTTAGTCAAAGACTTGCATATATATTGGCATTTCCTTCCCTCATTTACTTCATTGTGACAACATTTCTGCCATGACTTTGGCCACCAATCCATTTTTGCACTCTAAAGCAAAACATAGTGAAGTTGGCTGTCACATTGTGAGTGGAAGAGTTCAACAAGGCATCATTTTCCTTCAATTTATTGCTTCTGCATATCAGTATACAAATATACTTACAAAAGGATTATGTACTCCATTGTTTAGTCTTCATTGTTCCAATCTTATGCTTGGTAGTTCCCAACATAAGATTGAGGGGAGTGTTAGAATATAAAGGTTGTTTGTATTGTGCCAATGCCATTTGTCAATGTATACTAAGTCTTGAGATATGCCTTGAGTTGGTTATAATGCGTGTTATAAATAGTGGAAAAGCCTTGTAATAATTATTAATAGAAATAGAAGAGTTTGTGACAAGATTCTCTCTCTCTCTCTCTCTCTATCCTCGATTACTTTCTCTCTGGTTTTTCAGCTTATATTTCTTCTTCATAGCTTAGTTGACAAATATTTACATTAAAACGGGAACATCTAATCCAAAACCAATTAACAAAAGCAGTGGCGGGGCTAGAATTTTCGGTGAGGAAGGGCCTCTCATAAAGGTTTTTTTTTTAAATTTTTTTTAAGCGGATGGTATTTACAAAGCTAATATGATATATATATACATATATGTATATATGTATATATCAAAATCAAATGTTCAAAACAACATATGCACATATAATATTACATACTCACAAAAAATTATAATTTTCCTTGACGAGTTTTTATATTTTAAAATCGTTTTATTATAACCCCATTGCCTATACTATTCAACTCAATGAGATAAATAAAAATTTTACGAACCATAAATCTCATGTAATATGTAGAATAAAGCAGAAACAATAGAGAAACAAAGAAATTTAAAACTTATTTGTTTAATAGATTTCAAATTTAGGATTATAAAATGTATGAGATATCAAAAAGAAAAAGGGAATTTTTTTAATTTTCATAATTAAAATTGAATGTTTTCTATTTAAAGAAAGGCGAAATATTGCTTTGATTTTAAATGCTATTAATTTGTGTTAAGGAGGTAGATAAAATATTAAAGCTAATTGGGAGATGGGTTATGCTTGAAACTTGGAAAACAGGACTTGAAGCAATATAAGGATGCATAATTCCCTTATATATATATTTGATTTAGAAAGCTAGGATAGGCCCAGGCAATCCCTGGTCCTTAACTCCCTCCGCCAGTGAACAAAAGGAGGGACATAGCCAAATGTTTAAAACTATTAGCCAGGCATGGTTTCATTTCTCCAATATCGAAATTTTTGAGAAATTTCTCAAGTGGAAGGTGTCATATGCATTATCGATATATGCATATATCTTTGTTTACTTTTCTTGGGTTATTGATTTATAAGGATAGTCCCGTTTTGCATAAGCTTAGCTGACGATTGATTTATAAGGTAGTCCCGTTTTGCATAAGCTTAGCTGACGATTTTTACTTTGATATATTATTCTTTAAACTACATGTATGAGGTACTGCTGACTTGGTCACGCACTTATTTGATATTTATCCAATGCGGCTATGTCATGGGTTCTGCTAGTATTTTTATTGACTTTTTTAGTTTTCAACATAAATACTCAATGAAAATTAAATACTGCCTTAGTTATAATATTTTTCTTACTGCCTTCACAAATGATCCCGTAAAAACTAAAAGTTTCTTATTTCACAAATACTGGCTGCAATATATTACTCACATATTTAAATCCGTTTTGCGACTTTCTCCAAATTGTCATCATAAAACCTATTTTTGTGTAACTTTCGCCTTGATAAAAGCTTCATATAGATCATGAAGAACATTACAAAATTGTCATGATCAAGGAAACTATCTTCTCGCTATGTTCTGGATCCTGCTTGAATTTTTATTTATTATTTAGTATTCAAGGTTAAAAGTTTAATAAAAAGTACTTTAATTATGTTTGCGCTTTTAAATTACTTATAATATTTTCTACCGCGTTCATAAATTGCTTAAAAATAAAAATATTATTTAAGTACGCAATAAATGGTAAGATTGCTACCAAAAGACTTGTAAAATTTTCCTTGCAATGCAAAGACTTCTTAGAAACTGAACAATCACAGTTTTCAATTGGTTTTTCAAAATTCTGCAAAACTATCATAACACCTATCCTCATGGTTTTCTCACTAAACCTTAAGATTCTTATAATTCATACAGGACATTGAGGCGATGTCAAGGGAACTCCGTTTTGGTCCGCCAACATTTTTTATTGATTCTATGTTTTCCAGCTTAAAGTTTAGTAAGAAACACTTGACTTAATTAATGGTAATTCCACTTGTGAATGGCTTAGAAGTTTACCTTAATTCCCAGGCAAAAATACTCTCTCATTTTTGACAAAAATTGTGAACAATAAATAAATCACGACTTTTAATTGGGTTTACGAAATTAAACTCATACATCTATAAGAGTTACTACACGTGGAAACTTCATTGTTCAAAAGAAAATAAAAGGACTTGACTGTATTCATTCCACATACAGTCTACATAAAAGCAATTAGGAGCCAGGATTGCAAAATGCAAGTACACTGCTAGCGAGACATATTTCATGCATTAACAGCCCTACAGTTCTTTCTGATCTCTCCAGCAGACCCAGTAAGAGTAATATTCCCCATCTTGATCATAGAATTAGCAAAATCAGCAAAGAAACGATTAATATCTGTGTTATAGCTTTGGACCAAACTTTTGGTACCTGTTGTCACAGCTGCATCACTTGAAAATAGAATTTGATCCGAACTTATGAGGCCCTTCCCGTTAATCAAGTTTTGAAAGTAATGGTTGTCAAATAGATCAGCTGACTTCCGATCAAAAGGCGCGGTAATGCTTCCATCAGCAGTTAGCGGACACAGGTTCTGTAGATCAGTTAACATGCTTTGTTCCAACGTAATGTCAGGAGCACCTGTTCCTGAGAAGTTGAAGAGTCGATCTCTGAAAGTGCCACACCTTGCCAACCCAATTGTATGGGCGCCTACACATAATTAAACCCGTTTAACACTTTAATCAATCGGTAGATTACATCAACTAATGATATATTCGCTCTTAATTAAACAGAGGTGAAGAACAAGAGTGAAGAACATGACAAAATCTGAAGAACCATCAACTTAATTTCCCATTAAAATGGACTAAGAGTCTCAGATACTTGCCGACATATTAAGGTGAGAATTTTTTTTTTCTTCCCAATGTTTTATTGGATGTGTGTCCGACTCAGTCCGATCTTGTCTAGTTCCAGCTACAAAACGAGATTAAAGACTAACACTGCTAAAGATATTACTCTCTAGCATACATATTGATCAAGGACGATAAATTTAACGCGTTCTTTGAATCACATGCTCTTAGAACTGAACATTTTATATTCTTCTCTCTGCATGCACAAGAGAATTGCACATGAGACTAAAATAGAGTGTTGAAATCACTATAGGAAGTATATGTACCTGATAAGGACACAACGTCATTGACATTTAGGCCGACAGCGGCAAACTTGGAAATGATGCTGTCCAGGGCTTCAAATGGTGCAGGAAGTGCCCTATTTGCTCCTGTCTGATTTGCCACTAGACCATCTCTTCTTCCAAGTAGAACTTTCCATGAAGTTCCTCCACTCTGCAAAATGTGCAATATTATAGTAGAACATTACATAACATGTTTAATTATGAAATAATTATCTAATTAATAATGGCATGCATGATATTATCTAATTTCTGATGGCACGATCCCCAATAGATAATAAACATAATTAGCAAAGTTAATTAACTTACTAAGAGCCTTTGCATGATGGCGTGGGTTCAAATCTCGTTGGTGGCTAATCTAACAAAACCTATCGCTTGACAAAAAAAAAAAAAAAAAAAAAAAACTTACTAAGAGCACAGAATCTCTGGCAGCTATGGCTAGTATATCAGCACACGACACAACTCCACTGCATGAGCTTTCCACAGAGCTCTTGATTCTGTCAACAACTTCAAATCCTCTTGCTGAATTCAAATTTGGTCCGGCATCCTTCTCACTGCCAGTTCCATCCAGTAGTAGTGACGCATCACAACCCTACACTTGTACATGAAAGGGAGATCATTTAAAATTGGGAGGCCTATGAGCTGCAAATAAAAATTGTGATGCATGGATAAATAGAATTCGGTAATAATAAAACCTAAAACAAAATCATTATCAAATGGATCCTTAAGAACTCACATTCACTAAGCAGTCATGGAAGTGAAGCCGAAGCAAAGAAGCAGCCATTCGCATTTCAAACTTGACAGCATTCTGAACCTCTCTTCGGACAATTTTGAAAAGATCCGGACATGTTGCCTTGTAGAAATCTGTACTTAATTGGGCCTTCGCAACAAAACAAAAGGCAAAGAACGTGATCAGTACCAAAGAGTAACGACGGCTAAAATTAATCGGTGACCTTGTCATGGTTACTTAAGGGATGACACACTTAATGCTAAACAATATGGTTAAGGGCTACTTAAGTTGTATGAGACATTCCTTGAACTCGATTTATAGCCACGATTAAGGGTAAAACAACAATCTTTTAATCAACTATAGAGTAGTGTATAATTTTGTTTATCTAGTTGAAAACTAGCTGGCTAGTGCTTATGATGTATGGCGGCAGCACCCAGTGCTTGACTGCTTAGTTGCCTCATGAACTCAGAAGACTGCACTGAGAGGGTGAGACTGATATTAATTAGCATAATCTCAAGAGATTAGTGCATTTAATATTGCCGACAATGCAGATAACTGAAAGAGTACTGGTGGCCTAATTGCTCTCAGTTGTGCTTATAAATATAAGAATTTTGTATATGCAAGTTCATGAACCACAGAAGATGGGCGAAGCATACTATATACGATATAGTGCATGCCAACAGAAAGCCAAATGCCTTTTTGCTACCACTTTGGCGCTCACATGATTAAATTATGCTTGCATTAAGAAATTTTTTAACAATCAAATTAAGCTTCACATGCATTTTGACCAACTTGAAAATGAAAATTATTATTCACTTGATCATAGTTGTGGAGCCAAAAATATTCATTAGGCGACACGTGGACTTTTGGACAAAGGAGGACAAAAATACCCTTGAGGCATACCGGGATTCCTACGCGCGAGCAGCGGGCAATCATCTTTCAACCAAGTCAAAAGTGCCCAAAATAGGTAACAATTTAAAGCCTATTTCATCAAATCCTTTGTATAAGGTAATTCCCAAAATCTAATTTATTCTATATGTTTTATATTCCATTATTTAGCTAATAAATTAACTAAATAATATATTCCTTTCATATTTCCTAAAATTGACTAATTAAGGGATTAATTACCTAATCAATCCCTTAATTATCAATTAAACCACCACTTATAACCAAAAAACATACCAAAGGCCGGTTACCCACTAGGGCCGGCCATGCCTTTTATTTCTTGCTTTTTGCTACCATTTTCTTTCCCTTTTATGACATTCAAATAGCTAGTTAATTAGGTTATTATTATTTTCCAATTAACTAGCCAATTATTTTGTAACTCCTAATTAAACCTAAATTAAACCCAAAAAACCCTACCCACCTCCTATCCCTATAAATATACTCTCATTCTCACCAATAAGCCAATGCCAACACTTTGGCAAAAATCCCAAAATTCTCTAAACACTCTTTCTCTCTAAATTCTAACTTTGGCATCGAAGGTTCTTCGGCCAAAGCCCCCCCCCCCATTCATTGTGGACGCGTGAGGCTCTTGGCCTTGACCTAAGGTGTTAATTGTTTTGTAGGTGCAATTTTGTCCAAGAAGAATAAGGCGGAAATTTGCATCCACAATAGTGATTTCTCTAAGTAGGGTAGTGCAATAGAATTTTAGGGGGTAAATTTCATTGTATTCCTAATTTGAAATATATACATACAATTCATGTTCCATAAGGAAACAAATAATAAAGGACAATCCTTCCTAATAAAAGACTCTTAGTATTTACAATATTTACATTCCCTTTTTTCCTAACATTGACTCACAATTTACACTCCCCCTCAAGTTGGTGCATAGATATCACACATGCCCAACTTGACAACTGAGTCAGCAAACTTTCGACTACACACAGCATGAGTAAGAATATCTGCAAGTTGCTCATCTAAATTCACAAACGGTATGGACACAATCTTCTCCTCAAGCTTCTCTTTAATAAAATGTCGATCAACCTCTACATATTTTGTCCTATCATGCCTCTATACTCGGCCTCAGCTGAGGATCTCGATACAAACTTCTATTTCTTACTTCGCCATGTAACCAAATTTCCTCCCACAAAAGTAAAATACCCAGAAGTAGATCGTCTATCACTTACATTTCCTGCCCAGTCAGCATCTATGAACCCCTCAACCCTCAAATGTCCATGCTTCCCATTTAGTACTCCTTTTCCTGGTGCAGACTTCAGATATGCTAAGATACGCATAACAATAGTCATATGATCTACATTCGGTGAGTGCATAAATTGACTCACTACACTCACAGCATAGGCGATATCCGGACGTTTATGAGCCAAATAAATTAGTCTTCCTACAAGTCTCTGGCATCTCCCTTTATCAACTGATTTCTGATTCATAACCAAACATAGATGATGTTTTTCAACAATAGAAGTATCTACCGGCTTGCACCCCAGCATACCAGTTTCTTTTAACAAATCCAGATAATACTTACGTTGGGACAAGAAGATACCTTTCGGAGAACGAGCAAGTTCAACCCCAAGAAAATACTTCAAATCCCTTAGGTTCTTCATTTCAAACTCAGACGCAAGATTACCCTGCAACTTCAAAATTTCATCAAAATCATCTTCAGTGATAATCATGTCATCTACATAGATGATTAATGCTGTCACTTTTCCCTATCTTCGTTTAACAAACAACGTGTGATCAGAATGACTCTTATGATACCCAATCTTTTTCATAACTTGAGTAAACCTATCAAACCATGAACGAGGCGATTGTTTAAGTCCATAAAGAGACTTACGCAACCGACATACTTTGGTATTTCCACCAGCACTATACCCAGGAGGAAAATCCATATATACTTCTTCCTCCAAGTTCCCATGGAGAAAAGCATTTTTCACATCAAACTGTTTTAATGGCCAATCCATATTTGCAGCTAAAGAAATCAGAACACGTACCGTATTCATCTTGGCAACCGGAGAGAAAGTTTCCTGGTAATCTACACCATATGTTTGGGTGTATCATTTAGCTACCAACCTTGCTTTGTACCTATCTATTGATCCATCCGCTTTGTATTTGATCGTAAATACCCATCGACATCCAACTGTTCTCTTTCCTTTTGTCAACGACATCACCTCCTAGGTATTACTCTTTCCTCGTCCATTGCTTTTGCCCACTTTGGATCCTTTAGAGCTTCCTCCACACGGGTTGGTACTTGAACAAATTCCATATTGTCCACCAAAGTTTGGCGCTCTAGTGTAAGACCATTGCATGAGATATAGTTGGCTATTGGATACTTCACTTTTCCTTCCGGAGAGAACCTGACAGGTGGCATACCTCGATTTTGTCTCGGTGGCAACTTATATGTACTTACATCATTACTTGCATTAGTTACATAATCATCCATAATACTTACCTCAGGTATATCCAAAGAAGACATATTAGGCGGCACAGTGGAACTAGAGAGAGAGGGGGGCACATCAACAGATTCGGCAGGTGGCTGCTGTGACTGCATACTACTCTCGGTAACAATCTGCTGTGGTTGCTCTGGCAATACTTCAGCAGACGTAGGCTTCCTATGTACGGTAGAAACCGACTGAACCACCTCATGTGGCTCAGTAGAAGCCACCTGTAACTTTAAGTCATTCTCTACACATGCTTCTCCACTGGGAGGCTCGGCACATGCTTCTCTACTGGCAAGTGCGGTCTCTGCAATAGTGTCTCCCCCTAGGTCCAACCATTTCAGATCACCACTAGAGTTCTCCCCTTAGTGATCTAAAGATGAAAAGACGGGAGCATAAAAATACTTTGATTCCGAAAAGGTCACATCCATGTGAACATACATATGTTGAGTCTCAGGATGATAACATTTATATCCTTTTTGGTACGGTGAGAAACCGACAAACACACATCGTAAGGCACATGGATCCAACTTAGTACAATAGATTTTCTGAATATGCATATAAGCCACACGCCCAAATACCCGAGGAGTGAGAGTATGAGTAGACACCACTTGAGCATGTTGAGTGAGGACTTGGAGAGGTGTTCGAAAGCCAACAACCTATGATGGCATACGGTTGATCACATAAACTACATAAGTGACAGCTTCAGGCCAAAACACCTTAGGAACAGATGCCCCAAGAAGGAGAGCATGTGTTGTTTATAAGATATGGCGATTTTTCCTCTTAGCAACCCCATTTTATTGCGGGGTATGAGGACATGTCGTTTCATGGAGAATGCCTTGATCACGAAGAAACTCTGACAACTCAAAATTAATATACTCACCACCATTATCGGAACGTAGAACTTTAATCACAGATGAATATTGTGTTTGAATCATCTGAGAAAAAGATCGAAATACCATACCAACATCACTTTTATTTTTTAACATATATAGCCAAGTCATACGAGTCAAATCATCTACAAACGTAGCAAACCATTTAATCCCAGAAGAAGTAACAACAGGAGAAGGCCCCCACACATCAGAGTGCACAAGTTCAAACGGCAAAGCTCTTTTATTCATACTAGGAGGAAACGAAGCACGATGGCTTTTAGCAAGAATACATACTTCACAATGTAAGTCTGATTCATTTATTTTACTAAATAGACTAGGTAACATATGCCGTAAATACCCAAAAGATGCATGCCCTAACCGACGATGCGATAACCACACTTTTTGTAGATTACTAGAATGAGATACTCGAACGACATTAGCTCTGCCAGGAACAACGTCATCCACATAATACAACTCTTCTCTCTTAGTGCCTCGCCCAATTATCTCCTTGGTCTGAATATCTTGAAGTAGACAAAAGGACGAATACATTAGAACAACACAACTTAATTGTTCAGTCACTTGTGGTATGGATAATAAGTGATGGGATAAAGTAGGAACAAGTAAGCAACGATGTAAATGGAGAGAGGGGGAGAGATGCATGGTGCCCATGCCACACACGGGTGCCATGGTACCATTGGCAGTTGTTATGTTTTTCTTATGAGATGTAGTCATGTATTGAAACATTTTTTATCGTATGTCATATGATCCGTTGCACCAGAGTCTAGAATCCAGCCTGTATGTTGCTCAGTTTCGGAGGCTAAAAGAGCACGTCCCATAGTATCTGTGTTGGAAGACGAGTCACCTTGAGTACGAGTCAACAAAGTTTGATGAGAATCACTAGAACGAGGCTTAGCTCCCTGGGCTGTTGGTGTAGTCACGGCAAGGGAGACACAACCTCCACTGAATCCTGCTGCTCCACGTTCTTTGGCACGTAATTTTTTCTTAAATTCTGGGAACCAATCAGGCACCCCATGCTTGGCGAAACATGTATCTTCGGTATGACAGGTTTGACCATAGAAAGTACATTTCAAATCATCTTTATTTTCTTGGGTAAAGGAACCAGAATTAAAAGATTGATTAGAAGTATTAGGACGGGAAGCTGCAGGTGGCCGATAGATCATGGCCATAGACGGTAGCCCCATTTGGTTATTACTCTCACCCATCATGGTGGCATGTCGTTGTGTTTCACGCCTAACAACAGAAAAAACCTCCTCGACAGATGGTAAGGGTTGAGTACGTAGAATATCATTACGTACTTTATCAAAGATGTCATCCAAACCCGCCAGAAAAGCATACACACAATCAACTTGAATTTCTTCTCGAAGTGTCTTGAAATCAATAGCACATTCCATCTTGCTTGGTCTTCATTGATCTAGCTCCTGCCAAACGAACTTAAGGTCAGCGTAATACACACCCACTGGCCGTCCCTCTTGACGAAGCCTGAACGACTTAACCTTCAATTCATAAATTTGAGAGATATCCGAACCATCATAATAAGTCCGAGCCACCTCTTCCCACACTTCTTTAGCAGGTTCCATGGAATTGATCAACCACCATTTTATTATTGCATTCCCTGTTTCCCACGTCTCATACTCAGCACTATCCTCAGCAGGTTCCTTGATACTCCCTGTCACGAATCCCTTTCTACCACGTCCAGCAATATGCATCTCCAATGCCTTGGACCAAAGAGGATAATTTGATCCATTCAACTTCACGGTATTTGGTACGGCAGACGCATCGTTTTGAATAACAATGGGACTCGGTACCAGATTATTGGTTGGTGCACGGGAACCACCTTCCAACTTCAAAATTGATTCATCTCCTACATTCGCCATCACGACTTAAGTGATGAAGGAAAAAACGCACAATTGCACTAGAGACTCACGGCAGCAGCAAAACAGCGTGCTGCAATCACAGTGTACACAGTATGACCAATCTCTACAACAAACTACGCACGAACCAGTCAACCGAAAGTCACAGCGGAAGATACAGTTTTCTAGGGTTACAGCAGCTTGGCTCTGATGCCAAATAGAAATTTACGGGGTAGTTTTCATTGTATTCCTGATTTGAGATATATACATACAATTCATGTTCCATAAGGAAACAAATAATAAAGGACAATCATTCCTAATAAAGGACTCTTAGTATTTACAATATTTACATTCCCTTTTTTCCTAACATTGACTCACAATTTACACTATTCACACACCTTTTTTTTAATTCTCACACACCCTAGAGACTCACAGCAGCAGCAAGACAGAACCACACGACAGCAGCAAAATAGCGTGCTGCAATCACAGTGTACACAATATGACCAATCTCTGCAACAAACTACGCAGGAACCAGTCAACCGAAAGTCACAGCGGAAGATACAGTTTTCTAGGGTTACGGTAGCTTGGCTCTGATGCCAAATAGAATTTTACGGGGTAATTTTCATTGTATTCCTGATTTGAGATATATACATACAATTCATGTTCCATAAGGAAACAAATAATAAAGGACAATCCTTCCTAATAAAGGACTATTAGTATTTACAATATTTACATTCCCTTTTTTCCTAACATTGACTCACAATTTACACTATTCACACACCTTTTTTTTACTTCTCACACACCATTCTTAAATTTCGACCGTCGGATTGTGGGAGGTAAAAATGAGTGTGTGAATAACATTATCCTTCTAAGTGAATGGTGTGTTAAAATGTTAAGTTGGAATTGAAAGCATCTTTATCCTTGTTGATATGTTGGTGAAACATGCAACTCACAGAGTGCCATATATGTCCGAGGGCACACATTGCCATTTTGTCTCTTCTTCTCTTTCCCCTATTTCCTCCAATGGATGCAAAAGACAAACATGTTAGAGACTACTAGCAACTTCACGAAATAAAACATTAATTGGTTGAGCACCAAATTTATTCAAACTTCATTATAATTATTGGTACATATTTATCTTACATGACCAAATTTTTACACTAGTGATTATTTAGGTGGCGTGCATTTCGATACAAGATTTATAAGTCGTGAATGCATAACAACAATCTACGACATAAAAGAATTGGGTCACGAGCTATTAATATAGTACTGATATCTTTAAAAGATAAAACTAAATACCAAGGTAGGATTAAAATAGGCCTAATGAACCCAATATTTGGACTTGGGTGATTGAGCACAATATCAGTCCTAAATAGTCGGCTCACGCCGTTGCACAACAATTTGGGTACGTAGCCTCTTGCCTGGATTTGAACTCAGATATCTTGGGTGATAGCGGAGTATCCTTTCTTGTCATATATATTAAGTTAATTACTTCAAAAGGCAAGGCGATTGTATAGCAAGAGTAACAAATGCATGTTCATTCATACTCTAATTTATCAACAAGCAGAGGTCACATAGTATATTTATGGTGTGGCGAATTAGGAATAGGAATCGTAGCTCTGGGAATCACTCAACTAGGCAAGAGACTTGAACTCGCTAAGTTAGAAAATAGAACGAACAAAGTATTTGCTGGAAGATTTTAATTAACATTCGAAGTCTAACTGAAAGTCCATTAGTACAATACTTACAAGGTAATAGGCAGTCTATTGCTTAGTACTATAAACTATAAAGATTTTAACACATTCTGTGCTGCATTCAGTAATATTAACACATAGTCACAATTAATTGCTTAAATCTTAAAAATGAGTTGCTTAGTTAAGGAATATCCATAAATATATTTGTAGTGCAGGGAACTACATTTGTGCCGCAAAAGAAAGCCGAACGTAGGCAAAGATTGCTGTCAACCATCTCCACAGACCACTGGCACTGGAGTTAAACTTAAAGAGGTGATGTTTCCAATTCAATTCTCTCAAGTTGCATGCCTAAGAAAATTTTGCCTTGTTGACATAGTCTCCTGCAACCCTGTTTCTTCTATCACAGGCAATCGATGAGTTTATCTCGTTAAATCAGAATATGGGTGATCCGCAACTCCAAGACGGAGAGTGGGAAATGATATGGAGTTCACAGGTAATCTCATGCTTATAAATTGGCCAGTGTGTTTTTGAATTTGTTGCCTTTTACCGACATCCTAGTGGCGTGGGAAGTGGAAAAGGAACTGAGAGACTTAATTTGGTGTGAACTAAACCACTTAGAATTTTTTTGCATACAATTTTCACACGCCTGTCATATGTGGCAGGAAGAGACAGATGGTTAGAGAATGCAGCCAATGGTGTTATGGGAAAGCAAGCAAGTGAAAATTTTATAGCTTCTATTTTCGACAGATTTCTTCAATTTTCTTATTCTCAAAAAATTTAATGCTGTGATTATAGATTGTCAAGAAAGATGGAGAAATAAAGTTTGTGGTTGACATCTTACTTGGCCTCAAATTCTGCATAACTGGCACATTCATGTAAGTTTCTCATTATTTGGAATTAATGGTAGTACTGCTGTATTGTGAATTACTGGTTTTTACATTCTCCATCACATTGACAGGAAAACCGGCAGCAGAACATACGATCTTACAATGGATGATGCGGCCATCATCGATGGTCAGTTTGGGTATCCCGTAGAGCTAGAGAGCAAGTTCGAACTTCGGATACTGTAAGATATCTCATTTTCATGTTTTTTTTTTCTTCGAGATTTTGATTAGCTAGAAGTCCTTTTCTTAAGGTTCTAAAAGACACTACTCGGGTGGCGGGCTAGGACCTAGCACCTAGGTGGCTAGGTAGAGTCTAGGCAGATTTAAGTACATTTATTATATTTTGTGTAAATAAGTGTCTGTTTATTCTTTAAATATATATAATTTCATCATAAACTACAAAATAGAATGATATATATATTATCAAGTATTGGAACATAATGAAAACATGGGGAATAAGGATATAATGTGTGTTCATTTAAATATGCAACAAGTCTCTTACAATTTATGGAAAAAAATAAAATGCAAAATGAAAGTTATCTATTTTTTGTCTAAGTGAGTCGCGACCTAGGTGGGTTTGGGCGATCTAGGCGGACGCCTCAGCAGGTCTAGGCGTCATTTCTTAATTTATAAATGCCTAGACATTAATCCGCCCAGCGCCTAGGCAGGGCTGAGGTGAAGCTAAAAAAAGATTTTTAGAACAGTGTTTTTTATATGCATAATCTACTCACACTGTATGCTGCAGGTATAGCGATGACAAGATGAGGATTGGTCGGGGGTATACGAAAATTGTTTTCGTGTATTTACGAACAGATGGTGTCGAACAGAAGTAAGATGGTCTAACCGAACAGATAGAGGATCTAAGTTTCAAGTGATGCAAATTTGCTTCTGGTGGCTCCATATGTTGGTAAATATGAAAGCACAGCCAAATTATTTTGATTGTAACTCGGGGAAAAATTACGTACATATTAGCATAGTCTTGACATGTATTTCTTGGCTATTTCTTGCTTTTGTAAGATCAAATGTAATTATGAATTAATTGTATCCTAGATTTTTGTTTTACTCTTTAGGAAGAATTCATTCATGTCACAGTGAAAATTTTTATGAGGAATGATTTTTGCACACTTAATCTTCTCATTCTACACTTTATTTTTATTTATTGCTTCTCATTCGATTTATTCAATCCGTACACACTAACCATCATGATTTTTAAGCGATTTTGCAAATTTGTATAAAAGGTTATCATAAAATCTACTTGCTTCACCCTCATCGCACCATAATGTTTTGAAAATTCAAGTAAGACTTTTTTCTTGATATTCTTGAGTTTGGAGTCCCATTTTTGTATTGTTTTCGGCCCCAAAAAAAGTTTCTCCATTTATTTTTCAGTTTTCGGCTTAAATTTTATGTTAAAATATATTTGTTTCTCAACATATGGTAAAACCGCTTCCAAATGCTTTAAAAAGTTTTTCTTAATCATGATAGAAAATATTTCGCAAAAACAAAAAGTTGCATTTTTCTCAAAAAACGTGGACTAACCATCACGATTTTTAGGCGATTTTGCAAATTTGTACAAAAGTTGCCATAAAATCTATTTGATTGCACCTTCATCGCACCATGTAGTTTTGAAAATTCAAATAAGACTTTTTCTGGATATTCTTGAGTTTGGAATCCCATTTCGGTATTGTTTTCACCTCACTAAAAAAAATTTCCATTTATTTTTCACTTTTCGGCTTAAATATTATACTAGCCTCTCTGCACGCACTCACGTGCGTGCGAGAGGCATTTTTTCAATCACGGGCGCTACGCACCCCTAAATATGTCTTGCTTTATTTTTTTTCATTGTAATTGTCAAAATGGCTCACTGAACAAATTGAAAACGACTAACGGACAACATCTTTAAGGGCGCGAGAAATTTGTTTGATAACTTATGTAAATGAAAATGACATTAATGTTTAATTGTACGGCTTATGTCACATTTTTCGAGCTATATATCATGATCAATGATGGTATGTTTGATACATTGATCCAAAACAAAACGATGAACAATATGTACATATAAAAACATAAAGTCTACTTGTAACATGATGATGCCATTACTAAATCATGGTCTCTTTCATCATGGTCCCGCAAGAGGCATTTTTTTAATTACCAGCGCTACTTGGTTTTAATTATATACTGTGTCAATTGTTTTCATGCAATAGGGAAACAACACTTGCGTGTGAGAGGATTAAAACAGCCTTTTTTAGGAGGCATAGGTGTTCATTTGTCTATCAACATTCTTATTCGTTGAGAGCTGAATTTTATGTGTTTAAAAATGGTGTTTTCTTAATTGCTCATGCTTAACTTGTTTCTATTTTTCTATAGAAGATGAAAGTTTATTACATTAGTTTCCAATCTCTTTATTTGTAGATCGCCTTAGCATGTTTTTATTCTTAAGAAAAATTAGTGTAACAATTTTGTTTTTGTTTTTACAATCAAACCCGAGCCTTGTTCTATTAAAAGTGAAAATGGAGGTTGTTTTCTTAATGTGTATATGCCAACCCTATTTTTATTTGGTATAGATATTGTACCTTAATATAAAAATTGAATACATAAAGTAGTAATAATCTTGTTTTATTAGTGCAAAACATGTATATCTATCGTATTTTGGAGCACTGTAAAAAGGTGTTCATTTTTATAACCTTCCAATCAAAAATACAATCCCATGCATGAAAAAAACAAACAGATCATAAGATACAGTTATTTACTTGATAAGACAAATAATTACACCCGAACTATGAAGTTGTTTCAGTTCATATTCCTAAAAAGAAAGTAATCAAATCCTTTGCAGCCTGAATGAGGCATGAACCTGTAAATTTAAGACGATCCATTATATACAGAACAAAAGGAAATAGGGGAAGATTATTAGCGAAGAAGAATCAATTACATATAAAATTATGTGTACCTGCACTCTTGAGTATGATAAACTACATTCCTCTGAATCTTACACTAATTAATAGCCAAGCAACTCTTCGTTGAACAATATTTTAAACAACTGAATATAAGGAATTAAGAAGTTGAACTGATTACAGGAAATAAGAAGAAGTTGAACCAAATTCTATAATCATTGTTCCTGGACCGACTGTAGATGTCTTCCCATGGTTTTTCTTTGTTTCCTCTGAATACAAAGTAAGAAAATAAAATCCCTTCTATGATATAGCGTTCATACTACATATATAGGTTTGATCGTAGATTATTACGATAAACTAAACATGACATAAACAATTAAGGACATCTGTAGAGCCTTAAAACCATTACAGAATAGAGCAATTATAACATTTTTCTTCCAAAATGGAAGAAGAACAAAGTATCATTTGATCACCAATAAATAAATAAAACATGGAAGAAAAAGAAAATAGAAATATACCCTTCACGTAGCCTCTCAGAGCACGCCAGTTCTTTCACATCAATTAAACACATCCAACCACTTCGACACACCTGACGGCTCTACAGGCGAAGAGAGAAAGATTGAAAAATAGGAAAAACTGAATGGGAAGTGTGAGAGACATGTTAAGAAAATGGGCAGCCCATAAAATAAAGCATAGATCGTCGTCCCGTCAAACCATCGTCCACCAATTGTCTATAAAAAAATACACCTAGGAAATAGAAGCAGATAAAAAAGTCAGAGCGCCAAATAAGAGAGTAGATCAACCATCTAAATGAAGAAAAAAAACATGATCAAGTCCTCTTCTGCTCCGCTCTTGAGGCCCAAATCTATAAGAAATAGAAAAGATTCAAACTTTAATGATCATTTTGTTTAAATTAGTTAAAAACAAAATCATGGACAGAAGGAAAAACGAAAAGGGATGAAAATATGTTACCTAAAACAGAACAGGATGACTCAAAACTATTTTTGTTCCCTCTTCTTCCGCTATTTTCCCTGTGAAACAAACTTCAAAATTGATTACACAAATAAAAAAGGTTCAAACTTTTAATTTCCCAGAAACCAAAATTGAACATTTCTACTAAATTAATTAAAATTTCATGGACAGGAGGAAAAAGAATTAAACGAAGTTACCCAAAAGAACGAAACCACCAACTCATATATTGAAAACGCATCGATCACTGGGGATTCACCAATCATCCTATATATTTGATCAAATATGGAGTTAATGATAAAAATATGAATTATCGTATGATATTTTAGACTAAAATGTAGAGACAAAATTCGGAAATTGAAGAAACTTGGCGTACCTGTAAAAATGTGGATGGAGATTGAACTGCGTCGTCCTCGTTCTCCCTCATAAAACCATCGCAAATTTTGCAGTAGAGAAACCAAAAAGGTAAACTGTCTTCCGATAACTGTAAACTTGGAATAAAAAGATAAACTCTCTTCCGATAACTGTGTATATTCCACGTTCTGAACTCCATCTTCTCCAGTTTGTTTTTTCTACACAACGTGGACGTTTGAATGCCACGTTCTACTTTTTTTTTCTCGGCTTTATGTAACTTTTTTATTACAGTTTTCTGTTCAGTTCCAAATCCACCTTTGCGTGTGAAACGGTTTCATCACGTCAAAGTAAGGTTAACCGTGTTTGAATGCGTGAATTGCTCTTTGTATTTAATTTAATTTTTTTTAACTTTTTAATTTGATAACTGCCCTTTTTTCTTTTTGACAAAATTACCCATGTTGTGTTTGCTGTGTTATTTTTTGTTAGTTTTGGATTTTTTTTGTTTTAGGGGTGTTTTTGTCCAGAAATTTTGGTGAAGCCTTGAGACACCAAAGTTGATTGCTGGCTTTCTAATATTAAAGATTAAAGATTAAATATATTTGTGGTGTAATAAATGGTAAAACCACTTCCAAATGCCTTAAAAAGTTTTTCTTAATCATAATGGAAAATATTTCGTAAAAATATATAAATTACATTTTTCTAAAAAAATGTGGACTAAAGTTGTCATAAAATCTATTTACTTTCACCCTCACCACACCAAGATGTTTTTAATATTCAAGTAAAACTTTTTCTTGTTATTCTTGAGTTTGGAATCCCATTTTAGTATTATTTTCGCTCTACTAAAAAAATTCACTTATGCTTCAGTTTTCAGCTTAAATATTATATAAAAATATATTTGTTGTTCAATAAATGGTAAACCACTAATGCCTTAAAATAACATGACGGAAATATTTCAAGAATGAAAAAAATTGCCTTTTTCTCTAAAAAGGTATGGAAGTTACCATCACGATTTTTATTTTGCAAATTTATGCAAAAGTTGTCATAAAATCTATTTGCTTTCACTCTCACCACACCACGACATTTTGAAAATTCCAGTAAAAAAATTTCTTGATATTCTTGAGTTTGAAGTCCCATTTCGGTATTATTTTCGCCCCACCAAAAAAAAATTCCAATACTCTTCAATGTTCGGCTCAAATATTATATTAAAAATATATTGCACAACATATGGTAAAGTCACTTCCAAATGCCTTAAAAAGTTTTTAAAAAATGGCATTTTTCATAGAAAACGTGGACTAACCATCAGGATTTTTAGTTTTAAAAAATAAACCATCAAGATTTTTAGGCAATTTATAAATTTGTACAAATGTTGTCATAAATCTATTTATTTTCACCCTCATCGCACCATGACGTTTTGAAAATTCAAGTAAAACTTTTTCTTGACATTCTTGAGTTTGGAATCCCATATTTATATTGTTTTTGCCCCACTAAATTTTTTTTTTGGAACCTTAATGAAAAGATCCTGGTACTGTTCACTTTAACGAAAAACCACATTTTTACACTAAAAAGTCAATCTTGGTACTATTCACTTTACCCTTTATTTTGTCCTTATCATTAAAACTCAAAGTTTTCAAGCCCTTTTCATTAGTTTTTTTTTCCATTTATTTTACAGTTTTCAAGCTTAAATATTGTACTAAAATATATTTGTTGCTCAATAAATGGTAAAATCACTTCTAATTACCTTAGAAGGTTTTCGTCATGATGGAAAATATTTCACAAAAATAAAAAACTTTTCTCAAAAAACGTGGACTAACCATCACAGTTTTAGGCGATTTTGCAAATTTGTACAAAAGATGTAATAAAATCTATTTACTTTCACCATCACTATACCATGACATTTTGAAATTCAAGTAAGACTGTTTGTCACATCCCGACCCAGGCCCCCACAACATCTCGGGCTCAACTCCACCGTAGCACGATATTGTCCGCTTTAGGCCCCGACCACGCCCTCACGGTTTTGTTTCTAGGAACTCACATGAGAACTTCCCAGTAGGTCACCCATCCTAGGTTGCTCTCCCGCGAACTCGCTTAACTTCGGAGTTTCTAAGGAACCCGAAGCCAGTGAGCTCTCAAAAGGCCTCGTGCTAGGTAGAGATGAGAATATACATATAAGGCTTATAAAATCCTCACCCCTGGGCGATGTGAGATCTTACAATCCACCCCCCTTAGGGGCCCGACGTCCTCGTCGACACACTTCCGGCCAGGGATTGACTCTAATACCAAATTGTCACATCCCCGCTCGGACCCCCACTACATCTCGGGCTCGACTCCACCGTAGCACGATATTGTCCGCTTTGGACCCCGACGATGCCCTCACGGTTTTGTTTCAGGGAACTCACACAAAAACTTCCCAGTGGGTCACCCATCCTAGGATTGCTCTCGCACGAACTCGTTTAACTTCGGAGTTCCTACGAAACTCGAAGCCAGTAAGCTCCCAAAAGGCCTCGTGCTAGGTAGAGATGATAATATACATATAAGGCTTACAGGATCCTCACCCCTAGGCGATGTGGGATCTTACACTGTTTCTTGATATTCTGAATTTTGAATCCCATTTCTATTTGTTTTCACCCCACTAGAGATTTTTCTCTATTTATTTTCAAGTTTTTGGCTAAATATTATATTAAAAATATATTTGTTGCTCAATAAATGGTAAAACCACTTCCAAATGCCTTACTGTTGTTTTCTTAGTCATGACAAAAAATATTTCCTCAAAACAAAAAATGGGAATTTTCTCAAAAAATGTGGACTAACCATCACGATTTTAGGTGATTTCGCAAATTTGTACAAAAGTTGTCATAAATTCTATTTAATTTCACCTTCACTGCATCATGATGTTTTGATGTTCAAGTGAGACTTTTTCTTGAAATTCTTGAGTTTGGAATCCTATTTCTATATTGTTTTCGCCCACTAAAATAATGTCCATTTATTTTAAATTTTGATCTTAAATATTATATTAAAAATATATTTCTTGCTCAATAAACGGTAAAACAACTTCCAAATGCCTTAAAAAGTTTTTCTTAATCATGACGGAAAATATTCTGCAAAAAAAAAAAAAAAAATTGCATGTTTCTCAAAAAAAAAAACAACGTGGACATTCACAATTTTTAGGCGATTTTACAAATTTGAATAAAAGTTGTCATAAAATCTATTTGCATTCACCATCATTGCACCATGACGTTTTGAAAATTCAAGTAAGACTTTCTCTTGATATTAATTCTTGAGCTTGGAATCTCATTTATGTATTGTTTTCGCCCCACTAAAATTGTTTTTCCATTTATTTTTCAAATTTTGGCTAAAATATTATATATATTTGTTGACACACCCCGATCCTAAAATCAGGGCGTGCTAGCCGTCACGTGAGCGTGACGTAGCCAAGAGTGCGACACGGAAGCAAGATACAACAGAAATACGAATGAATTTGAACCAACTACTAGCAGTAACAACCTACTAGCATAAAAGAGTGAGTTATAAGTAAAACACACGAATTCAGAGCATAGGTATAAGTGCAGTCAAGTAGGACCATAATTAAAAGTACAGCACTCGTAGGAGGGTCCTGCATGTGGTACGTCTGTCAGAATGCCGTAAAGACCTCGTAAGCCGCCAACCGCTAACTAGAATCTGGAGGGGCGCAAAACAAGATGAGTGGGTCAGTAAAACCAAATATTTCTCAAAACATTTCATTTTAAACATTTCTAACCCCTCACCGTAAAACCTGTATACTTTCCCAGAAAATAGTATATATATAAAACCATATGTAATCTCAAAACTCAAATCTCAAATCTTTAACATTTTTCAAGAAAATATGCCATGCCATAAATCAAATATAAATCAGGTGAAATAAGGAATCAATCGGAGACCCTGCAGTTGGTCCTATACGATTAATTCTATAGCTCAATATCTCACTCGGCCGGAGTCACCACAGTGACCTATACGGCCCTACTCTGCACATCACTCGGAACTACGTAAGGTAGTTTGTACGCTGAAAGGTGTAAAAATACGCTCTAGTGCTTTTCTCATCAATCATCAGCGCGCATAACTAAGGTCACCCACTAGTCGGAATCACGTATAGTGATCTATACGACTAGCATGTCGGAACCCTCACATGGTCTGTACGACATCCACCTACTTGGATCCAAAGCGAGCGTGCGGTGTGGTGAATAACATAAGCACTAACACCTAGGGTGCAGATTATGAGCTCAAATTATCTCAACATCAAATAATTCAATGAATAAATGAACTCACCTGACTTACCTGTGCCTCCACAACACCATGCAATATGTATGCATCATATATCAATCACATATTTCATATAACAATTCACATTTTCTTCAAATAATTCTATGCATGGCATTTAAAATCATATTTTCATATAAATGCATTTTCTGGGAAAAACAATAGTATATAGGTAATACGAAAACAAAACTGCCCACTCACTGGTAAGTCGATGGGTCGTAGCCCCCTTGACGTCCCTGGATGCGCTCGTCCTCGGGATACGTGTCACCTATATGCGAAACAACTAAAATTACATTATTTAAAGCACATCACCAACATTTCGTAATAATTTCTCATACGGTGCTCAATTTGGGTATATGAATATACCACAGTGACCTACTCGACATCACGGACATCGACATATTTTTAAAACAATTTTTGGACCTTCCACGCGCCCTCACGCGCCGGCTAGGGCATGGCCCTACGCGCAGGCCACGCGCGGCCACGCGCAGGCGCGTGTCGTCTTCTTCGCAGGGCTCGTCGGACTGGTTTTTCCGGCGGCCGGTTTCCGGCGAACTTTGTAACTCTTCGTTCTCCTTCGTTTTTCACCCATTTTCTTCGTATTTTATACCAAATTGAACCCCCAGACATGAAGAATCACCTTGGACTAGTTTTAGGGTCTAAAAATCAAGAAATCTCACCGGGCAAATTCCAAGAAATTCGGCCAAAGTTGAACCACGTGATCCCGACGTCCAAAGCTTCCAAACGAACGTCCCCGAGCTTCCTTAGGACCTCCTAAAGCTCACTGTGAGCTTGGATTGTCCTAAAAATCAACCAACATAAAGTTCATAAATAGTGCCATATTCGGTCCTCGAGTTTTGAATGTGAAAACGAAGGAGTTCTTACCTGAAACTGGTATCTTTGAGTTCGTAGGACATTCACGAGCACGATGATACTAATCTTCACGTCGATCCATGAAGTTTTGGGTGGTTTTGGTGTTGTCCGTACGGTTTGGGTGAGAGAGGGAGTGAGAGAGGGTCGTGAGGGAGGAGAGAGAGAGATACGGGGAAGAGGGAGAGAGAGTAGATGTGAGGTGTGTCCCAAAACAACCCTAACTACAAAATTTGCATATCATTTTTAATCCATCTCAAATTTTCCAAAAACTTAGGAAAAAATGTGCATATTATATATTATGTCACGCACATACTTTAATACCCGTCAAGGGTAATTCCGTCATTTCACGCCCTCGACGATTATAATCCCGGGACGGGCTGTGACATTTGTTGCTCAATAAATGGTAAAACCACTGCCAAACCCCTTTATCAAGACGGAATATATATATCCAAAAAAAAATTGCATTTTTCTCAAAAAAAAAAAGGACTAACCATCACAATTTTTAGGCCATTTTGCAAAGCGGAAAGAGCTTATTCGTGGAAAGAAAATAATGGAATTCTTTGTGCATAAATTGTTATAAAATCTATTTGTTTTCACCCTCACAGCACCATAACGTTTTGAAAATTCAAGTAAAACTTTTTCTTGATATTCTGGAGTTTGGAAACCCATTTTGGTATTGTTTTCACCCCACTAAAAAAATTTCCATATATTTTTCAATTTTCGACTTAAATATTATATTAAAATATATTTTTTGATCAATTGACACACCGTAACCCGAAATGTCCACATGGACACCCGAATCACGATGTGATGGTCGACACCTAGAAGGTGACGAAGCCATAAAGTGTAGTGATGTGGAAAATGTGAATAAATTAAAATCTAAAAGTTACTAATTTAGAGTATGCATGTGAGCGGGATTGAACCCATATCACATAAGTGATGTCAGAGTATAGATAACTTTCAATAAAAGAAGAGTAATGACATTTATACTAAAATGAGAAGTCTCCTACGTAACGCTTTTATCAACTATCCTCGTCGTCATGAAACCTCTGCAACTAAAAATCCTGGAGGGGCGAAAAACAAGGATGAGTGGCCTTGAAAATAAAGTTTTGTAAAACCTTTTTGAAAAGTGTAACCTATCGCTGTAAAACAAGTATATGGTTTCCCAAAAATATTATAATAATAGTATGTAATAGGTACCCTGCAGCAGAAGATGTAGGGTACAACAACAAGGTATCTAAACATTGAATCTCAAACCGCTATTATAAGAAATCAATGCTCATTAATTTATGTAGGCACATAAGTCAACCACAAAGATATTCAAGCAATGGAATAGGTTGGGTGTAGGTTTTACATTCTATCGTACTACATCACGTGAGTTGCTCTAGTCGCATCACATACGAGTCCAAAAGATTACACAAAAGGACAAGCTGACACCTAACTCTGGATCCAAAGCGAATGTAAACGGTGCATGTGAACTCCACGTGAAGCTAGTCATTGGCCCAAGACAGTACAAATAACTAAGAGACACTGTGCAAACATGTAATAATGAGCAGATAAAATGCAAGGATGTCATGCCACAAGTTTATGCTCACAAATAATATTAAAAACATAAAGTGTACGAAAAGTCTATTTGCAAAGCTAAACATGGCATGCCACATCATAATATATAAAAGCAGTTGTTGGGAAAATCACATATACATACATACATATATATGTATATATATATACACACATAAAAATGAAAAGACCCACTCACAAATACTTGCGATGTCATATCCTTTCGAGCTAAGAAAGTTGGAGTCTCTGATAGTAATCTCACATAAGCATAATATTGGGACCCATTAGTAAAATCAACTTAAACGGTCAAATTTGAGAAGACAGAGTGCAGATTTGGAATCAGAGCGTCAAAATACCCTAAGAAAGGTCCCGAGCAAAATTTGTAAAAAGTCAACGGTCAACCCTAAAAAGTCAATCGAGACGCCCTAGTGGTCAACTATGTTAAAACTCCAAAATTTTCTTAAATGGATATCAAAAATGGACTCGGGAAGTCGAAATTAGTCTATGAAGGTTTCCAAGAAAAGTTTGATTAGGCCAACATAAGGAATATTCCAAGTATATTCTAAAGAATATTCCCAGAATATTCTTAGCCTATTTCATAAATGGGTCAGGTTGGAACAATGGCCCAAAGGTTTGGGTTGCGTTTGGGCCTAGGCCCTTTTTTTTTTTTTTTTGAAAAGAAGATGGGCCAATTTCGCGAATCCAGGTTAAGGTTACGGGTCATGGGTTTTAGGCCAGTTCATGGATCGGATTTTGGGCTTTTTTTCTGCACCGGGTTAGGTTTGACCCTTTTGGGCTCACAAGCCGCAAGACCCAACGAAAATATACCTAAGTGGGACATGAGTTCTAGCCAGAAATGACCTGCAATTCCGTGGTCCTTTGTCGGATTATGGAGAAATGCACCAATAGCATGCATGCATGAGTTAGCAACGAAATCATAAGTTGAAATGAGTCTAGGAATCACTCTCAGACCAATTCAAACCCAAAACCAACAAGAGTAGCCCCTAGTTAGCTTCAAACTCCACAGTTTTCACCGAACTTTGCCGCTGGACTAGTTCGACATGCCCAGAAACTTAACAAGGCTTAAGCCCTCGAATTAAACCATAAAAACTGCAACACAATAGGATTTAAAGCTCAAGAACACAAAGATAATGAAAGAAACATCACCTGGGTTTGAGATTGAGAGCTCAAGCTCTCGGCTTCAATGGTAGAACCTCGCACTATGCATCGATGCCACATGCAAGGCCATGGTTAGGTTCCTTGAGCTCCAGGGATTCCAAAAATGATATTTTTGAGCTTGATTTATCGAAGGTTTGAAGAGGAATGAGAGGGAGAGCTCACGGAGCTCCAGAGAGAGTGTGGCGGGATATAATTGGAAAAGAGAGAGAGAGAGAGAGAGAGAAAGAAAGAAAACTGGCTCAATGAGGGGGGGAAAGGAAAAAGTGATGGGGAGATGATGTTTGATGGACTGGGTGAGAGGAAATAGGTTTTTAAAAGGGAATTTTAACGAAAAACTTATGATACTGTTCACTTTAACGAAAACCACATTTTTACACTAAAAAATCAATCCTAGTACTATTCATTTTACCTTTTATTTTGCCCTTATCGTTAAAACTCAAAGTTTTCAAATCATTTTCATAAGTTTTTTCTTTTTTAAAATCTATTAAAACTATTATTTTATAGGTCCACTTGCACGCACTAATCCAAGTGATTAGTACATGCAAGCAATACCTCTGCACAAAGGCAGATTTCAATGTCCCAAAAAGGACCCATGTAGTGGTGGCGCTGCATAAGGAGAAAATTCCAAGTTTTGAATTTGTCTCAAGTATTTATTTTTTATTTTTTACACAATTTTGAACATAACTTGGTCGTTACAACTTTGAATTGAGTTCCACTTGAACCCACGCGTTCGTAAAAATAAGTACTATCCAAAAATAGTAAAATAAGAGTGGAAGGCCTACGTGGCATCTCAAGGGTATTTTGATCATTTTATTACTACTGAGAATAAGATATAATAAATCTAGGGATGAGATGTCACATCAATAATTGGTAAACCACTTCGAAATCCCTTAAAAAAAAATTATTAATCATGATGGAAAATATTTTGCAAAAATAAAAAAAATTGCATTTTTCTCAAAAAAGTGGACTAACTATCACGATTTTTAGGCGGTTTTGCAAATTTATACAAAAGTTGTCATAAATCTATTCTCTTTCACCCTCACCACACCATGACGTTTTTAAAATTCAAGTAAAACTTTTTCTTGATATTCTTGAGTTTGGAATCCCATTTTAGTATTGCTTTTGCCCCACTAAAAAAAATACCGAATTTTTTTTCAGTTTTCAAGTTAAATATTATTTTTAAATTATTTGTTGCTCAATAAATGGTAAACCACTTCCAAGTGCCTTAAAAAGTTTTTCTTGATCATAAAGCAAATACTTCACAAAAATGAAAAAAAATTGTATTTTCATGAAAAAAACGTGGACGCATCACTAATTTTAGGCAGATTTATAAATTTGTACAAAAGTTGTCTTAAATTTTATTTGCTTTCACCCTCACTTCACCACAACGTTTTGAAAATTCAAGTAAGACTTTTTCTTGGTATTCTTGAGTTTGAAATCCCATTTCCGTATTGTTTTCGGCCTACTATTTTTTTATTTTTTTCTTCAGTTTTCAACTTAAATATTATATTAAAATATATATTTTTACTACCCAATAAATGGTAAAATAGTTTCCAAATTTCTTATAAAGTTTTTCTTAATCATGATGGAAAATATTTCGCAAAAATAAAAAATTTGTATTTTTCTAAAAAAAAAAAACGTGGACTAGCCATCACGTTTTGCAAATTCATACAAAAGTTTTTCATAAAATCTATTTGTTTTCACCGTCACCGTACCTTGACGTTTTTTAAAACTTAGATAAGAGTTTTTTTCTTGATACTCTTGAGTTCAGAATTCCATTTCGATATTGTTTTCGCCCCACTAAAAAAAATCCATTTATTTTTCAATTTTTAGATTAAATATTATATTAAAAACATATTTGTTGCTTAATAAATAGAAAAGTAAAACCACTTCCAGATGCCTTAAAAAAATTCTTAATCGTGACAAAATATTTTGCAAAAATAAAAAAATTGCACCTTCCTCAAAAAGTGTGGACAAACCTTCACAATTTTTAGACAGCTTTGCAAATTTGTACAAATATCATAAAATCTATTTGCCTTCACCCGCACCACACAGTGACGTTTTGAAAATTCAAGTAAGGTTTTTTCTTGACATTCTTGAGTTTGGAATCTCATTTTGATATTGTTTTCACCGCACTATCAATTCATTTATTTTCAAATTTTATTAAATATTATATTATAAATACATTTATTGCTCAATAAATGGTAAAACAACTTTCAAATTCTTATAAAGTTTTTCTTAATCATGATGAAAAATATTTTGCAAAAATAAAAAATATTGCATTTTTCTTTAAAAAAAACATGAGCCAGTGAGTTGGATTAATTGGGGCAATAAGATTTGAAATGAGTGATTCGGAATACTTGGTCCGTCGGCTTCAGACTGAAGCAAATGGGCTTTACCATCAATAAGCCAGATGAACCTCAACCAGAAGCTACTCGAGTAATATTCGTGAAAAAATTGATGTTCGAACAAGGAAGAGCTATGCCACAGCAGCCATCTTCTCGTCTGTAAAAACATTCCCAGAAGGCTCTGCTTGGGAAATTGATGCAAAAGGAAAGTGAGCAGATTAAAGAAACATCGAGTGAAACAGAGAAGCCAAAATCAGTGGCATTTTTCTTACCCCCAGGATGGTTATGTAGTGATGCATCAACCGAATGAAACAAAGATGAAGCAGCTTTATCAACCTACAATCAAGTCTTGTTCCTCGTAGACTCCCACTTGTACTGGTTTTTGACATCCATGCGTGGAACTTTTGAATTTCCAACGCGCTAATTCATCCCCTTCAAAACGAGCAAAAGTGCAAATTCAGCGTCGTCAAAGAGGCTGAAGACTTCAAACTGCGCGGCTGGAGCCACCATCACGTGCGATACAGAAGATTTAAGCAAGGAGAGTAAGTCACTTCCATACAAAAATACAGGTGAACCGCAAGGAATGCTACTGACCATCAGCACACAGATAGCTAAGTTTCAAGTTCCAATTTTAAGACAGACCTGTCTTGGATCACAGCATCAGAACATTTTAAGTGTAGTTGAATATTTACAATTACATAATCAGCAGTCTTACCAATATAGGTTGAAGAGAGAAGAGTCCTCCTTGGATCACAATTAGGAATTGCAAACACAAGTCAAAGTTAAAACACGTCAGTCGACGCATTCAAGTACATTAGTGTAATATAGTGCAGGAAAGGACTATTTATCATATAACCTCAAACGCAGCTGATTAAACACAAGTGCAAATGTTTCTACAAGTGCATGACATTAAGAAATTGAACTTTCAGTACATAACAGGCATTAGATTAACCCTAAAAATTCGTAGGTCCATTTCAAACTTTATAGCGAGTACATTCAGCAATACAGAGTCATATCCTCTAACAGAATGAACCTGAAAACTAACTCTAACACCCCAACCCAAGGAGACATAAAACCTACAACCTAATCCCTACTGATATTATTAGGTTGGAATTGGGCAGAAAATTGAGAACACCACCAGTTCATCCTCTCTTTCCCACCAACACGATTGAAACGAAAATACAAAGAAAAAATGAAATATAATGCTAATCTACATAGAGTGCATATATCCAGATGTTTCATGATCAACGACTGAAAGGGTAATGTTTATCTGTTCAGTAACAACTTACATTAACGCGGGACAGATTAGTCACCGTCGCCAATGCTCTTCTCCGGGCACGCAATTCCCATCTCCTCATCCTTCTTTGCATTCAGCTCACCCTGCACTAACTCAGTCACATTCTTGACTCGACTTCATCCTTCACTTTCTTATCTTCAACCTCATTTTTATTTCCAATTAGTTCTTCTGGGGTAAGCTCACTCTTAAATTCCTCAACCTCTTCGTTACCTACAAACTCATTTCGTGTTTCATCATTCGCCTCATTTACCTTCAAAATCATTTCATCGGGCACATATTCTTCCATCCCTACATCAACATCCCTAACAATTTCATCCTCGGCCAATGGGCCAACACTTCTGCTTCCTCCATCTCTCGACACATACTCTACCATCTCAGGATTGCTCTCACCCTCTGTACCCATATGAGGGGCATCCGACCCTCCATCACTATCATTTTCAGATCCATTTTCCACCACCTCTTCATTGACCTCCCCCATCACATGGTACCTCTTCTCAATGAACTGCATCCTCCTTCTCAAATCCGCCAACTCCCTCTCCATCAAGAAAAGCCTCTCCTTCAAGGTCAGATTCTCTTCCTCTAATTGAGCAATATGAGTATCCTGATCATCCACCCTATTCTCCAAAGCATTGTTATACTCAACCCCGCTGTAGTTCGGGTACACCATCTCGAACCGACTCAAGTCATGGTCCAACCTCCTCTCCACCTCCACATGCTCCTCCACATCGCTCTCACTCGATCCGCCACCACCCTCCTCGTCATCATTTCCAGGTGACCGAAGCCGAATCAACCCTTTCATTGACCCATAGCCATCAATACCCCACTCCTCTTTCGCCATATCTCCCAAGACCTCGCTCGAAGGCGAGAACATGGGCGTGGGCAGAACAGCCGGAGTTACGGCACAAGGTGAAACCAGCGAGGCTATGCCGCCGGCCTTCTTCGCTCTAATAATAAACGACGTCGTGTTCCTTGGGGCGTAAGGCGCAAACCTATTGTTAAACTTCTTTTTCGGGTAAAATTTCCGGGCTTTCATTCGATTCTGAGACTGTAACTCGTGAAGCGTCGGCGGTATGTACCCTCCTCCTCCGCCTCCTCCTCCTCCGCTGGTCTGACCACTCAGCGGCAAATTGGGGACATTCTTGTCCATCCTCCTCTTATCTCCGCCCTTCTTGCCTTTCCAATTGTTACGCCCAAGATTCGACGGCGGCGGCTTTTGGGCAGCGAATTGAGGCTGCGGCTGAGGCCAAGCCTTGTAGTTCCGATTCATCATCATCGGCTGAGACTGACTCTTCATCATCATCAACTGAGATTGCTGCTGAACCGCCATGGCCTGCGACGACGGTGCCATCATCTGCGGCTGCGGCTGACTCATCATCTGTGGCAGCGGCTGGTTCATCACTTGAGCTTGGCTCAAACTCATCATCGGCGGCGCTCGATTCATCAGCTTTGACTGATCGTTCATCGTTTCCCCCAATTTCGAAGGAAACTCCACAAACCCTAGAATCCCAAATCTCAAAATTCAAAAAAACTCGTCCGTTACCTATTCGATGCCGATCAATCCTGACCGTCAATCAGATCGCTAAAAAAAAAACCCCAATTCCGATATCAAAACCCTAGAAATCCGATTGATTCCAATCCAACTTCTCGATCTTAAACCTCCCACAGAGAGATGATTGCAATTTTCCTTCTTAAAAAATTAAATTTCAGAATATAAAGGAAAATTCGAAGAATTTGATTTTCCTTTTTGTTTATGATTTGATTTCTGTCTCTCTCTAGAAATCGTCAGAGCTAATCGATGGGATCGAAGCCGTTAGGAGGCTAAACAGTCCGCGTGGGTTTGTATTTATAGGAGCAGACTGCGCCAGTAGGCCGTACGATCAGATTTTAAGAAATGGAAGGTCCAGATCGATTGACACGTGTTGGCCGAAGATCTGGCAGATGTTATTTTTCAGTGTATCGAGAATATAGCTTAACGCAATAAGTGTTATAATATAAATAGTTGAAATTTTTATTTTTTTTAAATATCAAATCATTTGTATTAAAACATTTACTAGACCAGGCCGTGTCAATAATAGCTCTTGTATTAACTATTAAATCGAGACGTGAAGACCAGATTTACAACTTAAAACATGGAATTAAGGATTGCATTACTCGAAAGTTGAAATTTGAGCAAATTTTCATATCCTCATAATCATTTAGTCTAGCGATATTTAATCTCACAGTCCACGTTATCCAGAGGAGAAACCTTTGCTTGGTGATGAGGTTGTGTGTAAACTTGGGATTACAAAGTCCTTGTTCGCATGAGAATATTTTTTGACGGTGTGTGGCTTCGATTGAGTCCTTGTGATGTTTACCTTCTTTTTTTATCACAAAGCTTTGTCAACCACTCATCTCTCTCCACCTGTCTTTCATGTCTCTCTCTCCCCTAACGCCATCAACATCTTTTTTGTTATGAAGGAAAACGGCTAAGAAGTTCAGCTTTTGCGTCACGACATGTTTACCGAAATTACTCCTAGTTTGTCTATCTGTATACTTTTTCGACCGGTTAAATTGCGTTAATCATTCATGTAGTTAAGATCGAGAGATTTCTTGATGTGCCAAAAACGCAGCCAGATATACAAAGTGTAATATTACAATTTTTTTGAATTTTTTTTTTCAAATTTTGACCAAATTATGCCACCTAACGTATTGAAACAGGATGTCAGCGCTAAAAAAATTTCTCAGGGATCATAGCTCAATGCCAGTTTTGTGGTGAATAAACTTTTAATAATACCCTCGTGATAACTTTGTTATCAATTTCAATCCATACTGAAATATGTTTGTTAAATTTCACGTGTGCCCCTCATGTAAAAGGACGAAAACGTCATTTCAAGCATGGTTAACGTAACACACAAGTTTCACTGCCTTGATAATGATCTTTTCACCCTTGCATATGGCGAGAACAGGTGCAAGAACATTGGCAAACATGGTTAACATTTGCTACGTAAATGAGATTTCGAGTTCGTTCATGTAATACCCGAACCCGAATATAAAAATAAATAAATAAAAAAAAACGAAGATTCAAAGAAGAAAGCGCTCACGCAGTGCTTCAGGCCACAAAATCTCGAAAATCATTAATCGATCGGCTGCAAAAAACTGGATATAGAATCGATATACGCTCCCCATACACGATCAATGATATACATAACTATATACATCATCTCAAAAATGGAAGTTACGGATACATGATTGGTTAGCTAGATCACACGCTATCCCTAAGTTCACCAGGAAACACTAAGCTACTTGCACTGATGCATAAAGGGAACGAAGAAACTCGGTTACTATATTCCGGTATTGGGGTTGTTTCCAGCAAGGACGAGAGAGATCTCCAACCCTCGGGCGAAAGCCTGGTTGAACATGAGCCGCGTTTGGAATGTCGATACAAATGGGAACCAGGAGGATAGTGCAATGGGTATGAATATGAGCATCCCCATCCCAGCGTGGTATAGAAGGGCAATGGAACGAATGGACTTGCACAAGCGAATCTTTTCCATCAAGGATTTCCAAGCTATAGCAATCTGGAAAACATCAGACAGATTAATGTCAATATAAATCGGAGGAAGAGGGCATTACTGATACAGACATACTCAACTAATTCCTGAATTACACTATCGGTTCCCTAAGTAATTCGGTCAGGCTAAAATATATTGAACGAAAATTGTTTACGCGCAATACATGAACACGATTTGTTCCAATTTATTTTTCTTACAAATTGTGAACGAATGGACGAGTGCTCAAATCTAATTCAACAGTAATTGTTACCAAAGTAACATGAAAGAGAGCGGCTTAGTAAGGAAAGAAAGAAAAGGACGGGAAATGAAAAGACTTACAGAAAGAATTCCCCAGCCAGTGGGTATATAAAAGCTAAAATTGAAGCAAAAACGTCTGCAATTGACAAATCCGTAAATTTAACTGCAGCTGCTAAACCAGCAAGCGCCAACAAGAAGGATACACCTTGAATGACACGCAGCAGAAGCCGGAAGTTAGCAGATAACTTCTGGCTGAAGGTGAACACCTGTGAAACCAAAGCGAAAAAATTATTAATTACATGCAAACAGGACTTGCATCACATAATTTTGGCCGCAATAGATGCTATCGCTAATTAGTCTTCACCTTGAAAAGGACTATAAGCACTGCCAGAACAACCCACGAGAGGCCATACACCTATGGGAGTTTGAACGAAAAGCTCGCGGTACTGTTCACTTTAATGAAAAACGACATTTTTACACTAAAAAGTCAAACCTGGTACTATTCACTTTATCCTTTGTGTTTTATCTTTATCGTTAAAACTCAAAGTTTTCAAGCCCTTTTCATTAGTTTTCCTAACACTTTAAGAGGGTTTTCAAGCCATTTGCATCAACTTATATACAGCCCCAGAAATTGGTGAACCCGGGATAGACAACGAAGTGCAATAGGTAAAGTACAGGAAAATAGGATGCATTTTGAAGGAATGAGAAGAAGGCCATATTGAAATACAACAAACTGTTACCGTCAATGATGTACTGTCTCCTTTCACATTTAGCTTGTAGACAATGCCATACTGGAAGATAAAGAATCTCAGACTCAAAATTGTCACTGCAATCCTTCCTCCCAAAGTCCGAATGCGTGCCTGCAGATGAAATCTCAGGAACATAAACAAGGGAATACAAAAAACAACACAATAGAGCACCCAAAAAAAAAAACAATGAAAGCGCACTTCACTGAGACAGTAATTGAGGAGGTAAAACAAGGACAAAAGGCTACAACATTCTTTATTTGACGGGGAGAAGAAAACTCTCGTGGATTAACAACGTTATTACCACCCCTAAAAATAGGGCAACATGTTTTTCTTATTTATTTCCACCACATTTTCTAATCTAAAAGTAAAACGCATTTGGCCAACGCGAGAGTAAAAATGCTTCTATGAGCTTTTTCGGTTCCGAAAAAGTAGACCATCATTGCAAAGCTTTCTATGAGCTTTTTCGGTTCCGAAAAAGTAGACCATCATTGCAAAGCTACTAGCTGATCTGTTTTTTTAAAGAAAAAAATATCAATATTTTGTTTGGAATTATCACTAATACTTTTTTTTAAGTGTAATCATTTTTTTTAGCGAGAACGTTAATGAGTTAGTAGTTTGAAAGAAAAAAAATCGGCAATCATCTTTAATTCCTTTATAGCCTTTGGATTTTAGGTGACTTTCAAAATTGGTCATAAGGTTTTAATTTTTTTCAGATTGCACCTTCAAGTTTGTAAATTGCAGCAATTTACACAATTTCTCTCTTTAAATCTAATCCTCCGCAAAAATGATTTTTTTTTTGTCAATATAATACAAACATGACGGTCTCATGCTCGCATGGTCTAATGGATATGGTCTTGATCACACCCTGCATTTAAACCCGTTATGTAACAAGTTAAAACGGAAGACCATATCCACTAAAATCATCCACCACTTGCTTAAAAACAGTATCTTGTTGCCCTTTAACTAAATCTAAATGCATCTTAATAAGATCTGAAAACTGACGAGGTAGCAGGTCGGTCAGGTGCAAGTAACAAAAACGCAACCCAAACACACTAGTAATTACAACACATGAAGCAGATATTGTTTAGCTAAGTCTGCCAATGGTAGCGAAGCGATCGAAAAATTAGCTCGAATGTTGCTCTTGTTACTCGTAACGTTACTCCTTGTTCCGGGATGAGCGATCCTTCCGTTGCCCACCAAGAATACGAGAAATCTGCAAACCTCTGCTGAATGCTTGGTTGAAGAGCATACGAGTCTGGAATTCAGAAACAAAGGGAAACCAGGCCAAGAATGCAACCGGGGTGAATAGAAGGAGACCCATAACTATCTCAAAGCCGCGAGCAAGAGTCCGAACCGATGGCCATAAACCAGCCCTGTGCACAACAGGCTTGCAAGCTTGTGCAATCTGACAAGAGACGGGGAACACAAAATCGCATTAGGAAATTCAAGGACAAAGAAATGCATCGTTGCTATACGGGGTGGATGTGTGATACTGAATTAAATTAAAGCAAGACGGGAGCATTCACTCACAAGAAGCATTCCCCAGCCAGTTGGCATGAAAGCAAGAATGCAGACGATGATATCCTGCAGGGTCATGTGAGGCAACACAATCAAAGTGATCAAAATGGACACAAAAGTTATGAATATTAGTCCCTTGATCAGCCGGAACACAAGTTGGAAATCTGCGCTGAACTTTCGCCTCCCAACAGATACAGTCTGGAGAGAAACATAAACAATTAAGTTCCACAAAGGAAAAACATACAAACAATATTAATGGAATATGATTTTGTCAGTCAACCTTACATTGTGGCCTTTACGTAAATATCAATAATTATGCAAACTTGACACTCACCTTCATAACGAACAAAATAAGGACGATCACCAGCCACGAAATGCCATAGACCTGTTACCAAGTAAATTTAATATAACAATAAGTTCACAATTGGCACATCGAAAGAAGAAAAGAAAAAGGAAATTTAGAGAGTGACCAGGTTAATTATTTACCATAACACTCTTGGTATGCTTTGCAATGTTCAAGTGATATACGAGCCCATACTGATAGATAAAGAACCGTAAGGATAACAGTATCTCAGCTGCAATACCACGTTTTCCAGAATATCGGAGATGCTCTTGTTCCTCCTCCCACCATGATTCCCAGCTTTTTTCAGGTGGAACACCTATACCCCCACGGTTGCTTATCCACTTATTCCAATCCGTCCAATCATCAACAATCTTTTGCCACTCAAAACCAGACGGATTGAACAGAAAGGGAGCAAAGAGCCAGGTACACACCATAAACCACATAGATGCAGTGATCAAAATGTACGCAACAGCACTTCTATAAGTATGACCAAAGATCTGGTACACGACAAGTAAAATTAAGAGCTCAATGCCCTTAACAAAGTGGCTGCGGGAGTAGAGCCTATAGTTGTCAGCAAATTTGGCATGGAAAACCACAAACCCACGTCCTGTAGATCTATATTTCGCACCACCATGAAGTAATGTCCTTCCATAATAGTGGGTCTTCGTTCCAAGTGAAAATGTGAAAAATACCGGGGCCAATTGCAATTGCATCAATACGAATTCACTTAGTGCAGTTCGGAAACCCTTCTCCAAACCAATTTCCATCAACATAGGCAACGCCATCAAAAATCCTATTTGAACAAATGCTTGAGACGCAAGAGCTACTTGAAGAGGCTTGTTGTCTCGAATTGCTCGTTGAGTACTCAAACCCTCTTCAAGTCCACTAAGAACCAGATAAAGGCGTCCATAAAGGAAGACGTACACAGTCAGCACAGTTATCTGCCAGAAAAACATACTTCCGTGTTCAGAACTTTTGACTAAATACCTAATATTATTCTTAATTCTTAAAGACCAAAGTACATAACATTTGATACCAAAACTAAAGATCAACGTACCAGAGTACTGTAGTAGAAACCAATTGTGGTGAAATAGCAAGACATCATTCGGAAAAAGTCGAAACGGTGTCCAAGTCGGTATATATCTCGACTGAGTGTCTGCTCCCCATTTCCATTAGCTATTTTCGCTTCAAACATAGAGATCTGGTTAAGGCCCACATCTCTTCCCTTCCCAACTTGTATGTACTCGTGATGAGTTACATTGCCTTCACGGAGTGTGGAATTAAAGCCTGAACCCCATACCATAATTAGAATATAATTGCCCACTGATAAATTGTGATAACGGATAATGTTCACTCAAATGCCTTCAACTTACCAGCAAATATGTCTTCACTCAAATTGATAACCTTGGATGCTTTACTGACACCCCCTCTGGTAAGGTGAAAGAGCCTATCAAACACATCCGGATGACCATAATGGAATCGAACCCTGGATGAGCAGAAATATTAAAACAGAAAAACTTCGGAATGGTAAAATCATAAAATTAGCAAACTGAAAAAAAAATGAAAAAGGTAAAGGAATTAAACAAATGCAAGTACACACTCGTGCACACGATAATAACCAGTACACAATATTTGTATGCCAGGATTTTTCGTTTCAAGTTTTTCTTTTCCCAAAATTTAAAGTGGACATTATGAGATAATATAACTTACTTGAGAGGATTGGCCAACAGTCTCTGACCAATAGTGACAAAACTGTTTTCCTGATTTGACATGAACCAAGCTAGAGAAGAAACACTGGATCGGATCAGGAAAGAATGTTAGTGATACCTAGCCATCGTCAGTTTGTTATACAGCAATACGCCCTTGGTAACAACACAACACCTACCTTCCAGTAAATATATGCTCCCTAAGTCCAAGAATTGTAGGATGCCTCACCCCATCATGCTTCTCGAGAAATTCTTGCAGCAAATTCCTCATCTTCAAGGCTTCTTCCATGTAGTTATCCTACAAGATGGGTCAGATTAATTAACATTGCACATTGGGATACAGGCACCTTGCAAAAGTAATGAACTAACATGTTATCCTCCAACATTTTTACTTTTTGTACTTCAAAAACTTATTAGTCCAGTCAATCATCATTGTCTAAGCTTGCTCCCAGGAAAGTAAAATCCTGGATCAATCAGTCATTTGATAACAACCACCATACCTGGTTCATATCAATTGTTTGCAAACCTTCTCCACGTGTGAAAATAATGGCATGATTTTGATTCTCTGGTTTTCCTTCACCCAAAATAGCAGGTCCTGGAAGCTTTATGCGATAAATTACCTGCGCATAGATAACAGTACAATTTAGCAAAGGATGTTAAGATTTCAAAGATGACAAAACCTAAAAAGCAAATAAGATACAATTATATGTGACATGGCCTGCTCAAGGATAACAGTTCAAAAATTCAAAATACCTGTGCAGACAAGGTTAAAACAGTGGACTAACCACATAAAAATACATCTGTTCCACAATTTGCATTTAAATATGAAACAAAACTGTCACAAACTAAAAAAGGTACAAATTAAGTGAACAAGGAGTCCACTTCTAAAACAAAACCAATACATGGAATCTACAAAATTCACTCTAAAACAGGAATGATACAGCATCTCA